AAGTCAGACAAAGAAAGGCAAATACTGTATATCACTTACATGTGAAGTCTAAAAAGTATAAAAAGCTAGTGAATAAAACAAAAAAGAAGCAGACTCACAGATATAGAGAACAAACTAATGGTTAGCAGTGTTGGGGGGCAGGGGCAATATAGGAGTGGGAGAGTGGAAGGTACAGACTATTGGGTATAAGATAGGCTCAAGGACATAGAGTTACAACACGAGGAATAGAGCCAATATTTTGTAGTAACTGTAAGTGGAAAGTAACCTTTTAAGTTGTCCAAAAAATAAAAAATTAAATTAAAAAATTAAGTGCAACTATTTTAAAAAAAACAGATCAGTGGCTTTCAGGGGCTGGGATGTGGAGAGCACAGGGGAATTTGAGGAAGTTGATGGGACTGATCATAATGGTAGCTACATGAGTAAATGCATCTGTCAAAATTCATAGGACATATACTAAAAGGAGTGTATTTTGCTCTCTATAAGTTATGCCTTAATAAACCTGACTTTAAAAAAAACCAGGGCTTCCCTGGTGGCGCAGTGGTTGAGAGTCTGCCTGCCGATGCAGGGGACACGGGTTCGTGCCCTGGTCCAGGAAGATCCCACATGCCGCGGAGCGGCTGGGCCCGTGAGCCATGGCCGCTGGGCCTGCGCATCCGGAGCCTGTGCTCCGCAACGGGAGAGGCCACAACAGTGAGAGGCCCGTGTACCGCAAAAAAAAAAAAAAAAATCAAAGGGGTGCATAAAGATATACCATGCTAACAATAACCAAAAGAAAGTTGTAGTGGCTATGATAATATCAGACAGAGTAGATTTCAAAGCAAAGAGTATTACCCAGATAAAGATGATTTTATAATGATAAATGGGTCAATCAAGAATATAACAGTCTTAAACATTTATACATTTAATATTAAAGCTTCAAAATACTTAAGGCAAAAATGATAGAACTGAAATATTTGAAATTTAAATAACATACTTCTCAATAACCCATGGGTCAAAGGAGAAGTTAAAAGAGAAATTAAAAAGTGCATACATTTAAGGGAGAATTTATGCCAATTCTGTACAAACTTTTCCAGAAAATGAAGAAGCTGGAATACTTTCCAACTCATTATTTGGAACCAGAAGATAACAAAACCGGTGGGGGTGGGAGGAGGGCAGGGGGACATTACAAGCAAAGAAAACTACAGACGAGTCTCCATCATAAACTTATGTGCAGAAATTATAAGCAAAACTTTAGCAAATCAAATCCAGTGATATATAAAAAGGATAATATATAATGACCAAGTATGGTTCATCCCTGGAATGAAAGGTTGTTTCAACATTCAAAAACTGGTCAATCTAGTTTATCATATTAACAAGAAAGAAACATGATGATCTCAGTAGATGAAGAAAAACATTTAACAAAGTCCAACATCCATTCCTAATAAAAATTCTCAGCAAACTAGAAATAGTAGGAAACTTCCTCAAAATGATGAAGGGAACCTATGAAAAATCTACAGTTACCATCATATTTATTGATGAAACACTGATTGCTTTGTGCCTAAGATCAGGAACAAGACAAACGTATCTACTCTCACAACTTCTATCCAACATTGTACTTGAAGTTCTAGCCAGTGCAGTGAGGCATGAAAAAGAAATAAAGGGCATCCATACTGGAAAGTAAGAAGTAAAACTGTCTTTATTCATGGACAGTATGACCATCAGTGTAGAAAATCTAAAGGAATCTACAAAAAAACTATTAGAACTAATAAACATCAAAAATATAAAATACCTAGGGATAAATCTGATCTTTTAACTGTGTATGCTGAAAACTACAAAATATTGCTAAGAGAAATTAAAGAAGACCTAAATAAACGAAGAAACATACCTTGTTCCTGATTTGGAAGACTCAGTATCATTAAGGTATCAGGTCTTCCTTAATCTATATTTAGAGTCATTGCAATCCCACTCAAAATCCCAGTCAGCTTTAAAAAAAAAAAATGAAATTGACAAACTGATTATAAAAGACATTATTCACTTAGTATTGAAACCAGATAGAACATCAGTCTTCCCTGGATAACATTTATGATTAAAGGCAACTGTTCTTCAGTGTATAAGATGACTCAGGAGGTTACCTCATCCCTCTCTTTCTCTTTGCTGCTTCCACATATTTAAAGGCAGAGGACATAGTGAAATAGATGAAATTCTGCATGTAGATCTGAAAATAACTTTTGGAAGAAGAAACATACCTCAAATGACAGCAGTGAAGTATGAAGTAATTACCGCTAATCAGGAAGCTAACTAATGGCATAGATGACTAAAGAGTCATGAAACATTTATCAGGGTTAGAATTTAGCTGAATAATAAAGTTGAAGAGGAAACCCTCCAGTTCTCTTTCATAAAAAGTCTCTGACTGATTTAAAATGAAGTTTTAAATGTTCAAGTCAACATTAGATAAATTACAAAATTCATAAGCAAAAATAAATTTAATAACAAAATTTAGTTATAAGTACCAAGTAGGTCTTTCATATCTGTTACATACTATAAAATGACCTCATTGTAACCTGGCTTTACTTTTTTTAACTCACATTTAGAGAAAGATTTGAAATAATGCATCAGACATGAAAATAATTTCAATTGTCATTTCATTTACAGGTCTGCATTACATTTACTGAATTTGGAAAAATGCAAAATATTTGTAACTTTCTTGTTGAAAAGCTAGATAGCTCTGTTGTCATCAGCCAACCCCAGTTCTATCATACTCCAGGTTCTATTGAGAATCTTCGGTAAGTTAAGCACATCTTTAAATTAATTATCAACCAATTAAACAACACTATTCAGTGCTGCGGTTTGTTGACTGTCGTATTAATAAGCTCTGCATTTAATTCCTAAGACGGCAAGCCTGTGTCGTTGCTGTAGAAAATGCATGGCGCAAAGCTCAAGAAGTCTGTAATCTTGTTGGCCAAACTCTAGGAAAACCTTTATTAATCAAAGAAGAAGAAATGAAAGAATGGGAAGGCCAAATAGATGATCACCAGTCATCCAGACTCTCAGGTTCGTTAACTGTACAACAAAAAATCAAAAGTGCAACAATACACGCTGCTTCCAAAGTATTTGTAACTTTTGAAGTAAAGGGGAGAGAGAAGAAAAAAAAACATACCTGAAATTCTGACCAAAATATATTGTGTTTGTTTCTTTTTGTCTATTTTTATACTTTTTATAATGTTTGCTTTTGTCCTGAATATATGTATATTGTGTAGTATATAAGGTGTTTCTCCCTCAAGCCTGTCAATCCTTGAATATAGTTCCACAGAATACTTATGTTTACTTTCTGTTTTTGAAAACTTACTATGGGAAATACTCTTTGGGAATAAATGTGTTATATGTGCACACTTGCATAGTGACAGTTCATATAAGTGTATGTGTAAATAATTTTATATTCCTACTACAGGACAAAATATTGACACAGTTATTAACATGATTGTTAACATTCATAGAAAGAATGATGAGCAATACATAACTCTTGATAAAAGGGTAATGAGATATACTAAGAAAATATTTTGATGACAGAAATAAAAGATAATATATTGACCAGACTCTCTTCACTAGGGCTCCTTTGATTATACCAGCACTCTCCAGTACAAATATATATAATGCAATCCATATATGTAATTTAAAATTTCCTAGTAGATACATTTTTTAAAAAGTGAAAAACAGTTGAAGCTAATTTTAATATTTTACTTAACCCAGTATATCCAAAATATTATCATTTCAGCACGTAATTATTCTTAAAATAATTAATGGATATTGTATATTCTTTTTTATACTAAGTTTTCAAAATCCAGTGTGTATTTTATATTACAGCACATCTCAATTCAGATGCTAAATTTTCATCAGAAATACTTGATCTGTATTTAAGTTTCTTAAAATATAGGTGGAAAAAATAGATTCACACACCCAGTTGTTCCAGACATTCTTGAAAGATCTAGTAACTGGATCACGTGTCAGTTTTTAAATTAAAAATGTTTTTTTAATTTAAAATTCAGTTCCTTAGTTGCACTAGCCACATTTCAAGGACTCGAAAGCCATAAGTAGGCAATGGCTACCGTGTTGGACAGTGCAGGGCCATACACGGAGAAAATACTGATCCTTAAGGCTATCTGAGCAAGTACATATCATTGCTATTGCATTATACACCATCTGCAGGTGTGTCTACATAAGCCAAGTCTGTTATGCAGCACAGGCTTTCCATTCCCTGCCATACAGCTAAGCCCTAGGGTTTTTCCTTTGATAGAGCTTGACACTCATATACCAATGTTTCTTTCCTATAACGTATTCCAGTATGTAGTTTTCATCCCCACCCACTTTCTTAAGTGGCACTAAAACCGCTTAATCCATCTCTTCTGCAGTATCCTTGGTGGGAAGGAGTGTGGAAGCTAAGAAGAAAAATTTTAGAATCCAACACCGCTATTTTAAAATCCTGATTTTACTACTAGAACGTAAGCTCCTTTAGAATGGAGATCTTGTCTTTCTCATTCACAGCTGCATTCTCAGTCTTAGCATAGTGACAGGGCCAACACAGAGTAGGCTCTCAAATATCTGCTGAGCAATGTACTGGTTATAGAAACTTGGCAAGGCACTTTAATTTCTTTAAGCTTCTCTTTCCTCACCAATGAAATGAGGCTAATAATACCTACCCTGCAGTGTTACTATAAGGATTAAAGTTGATAACTGTAAGACCACAAGAATAATGCCTAGCACATAGCAGTTACTTGGTAAATGGTAGCCACTATACCAGCTGCATTCTTTGATTATTGTCAACCCAAGTAAAAGTTGGCTTTTCCAAATCTATCATTAAGATGAATTTTTAAATAGTCATATTAAAAATAAACTTATCAGAAAACCAGTTTAAGGTATGTTGAAGTTTTATTTCCAAAAAGAGTTAAATAAATTATATTTTAGCTTTTATTTATCCAGTTGGGTAGAAAAGTACTATTGAGTCTGTACATCAAGAAAAAAATTGTTCATACTCAATAAAATTTAATCACGGGGGCTGATTTTTCTTAGCCATGGCTTCGTTGTATCTTTGGTTCCGTCACATTTGGTAAAGAAGGTTTTCAACTTAGCAATAAATACCTAAAAACAAATTTTAAGTTAGCAAACACTTTTTAGAATTTACAGGCATTTTTAAAGATGTTGCCTCAAAAAAAACCTATAAAATGGACAGTCCTACAATTCTGTAGAGCATCTAAGAGAAGTAATCCTTCAAAGATTGGACTGGTTTAATGTATGACATCCTGTGTACTTTAAGACTAAGGGTATCAAATTTAGTTGTCAGTTAATGGCAAGTTAATTTCTGACACATGGCAGATACTGGAGTATCACAATGAATTACTTAGGGGACCTGTGCCACAAAGCCTGCTAGAATAAACCTATCCCGAACTTAATCCTTAATCCTGACAATTTCTTTCTTCTGAACCCCTTTTTAAAGAAAATCTTTCAAGAAAGCAAAAAATTGTAATTGCTGTTTTCTGAAAGAAAATTTCTTTCTAATTAGGATGTTTGAAACAAACCCACTATGTTCCAAGCTCCTTTTTAGAAGGAAATACTATTAAAATAAGGTTTCTGAATATTACTGATAAAATTTAGGATTCCATTCAGCTACACGCTAAAGATTACATTTTTTGTAGTATTTACCTTACTTATATCAGTATTCTTATTTGACAGTTAATTTGAGTTCAATGCAAATAAGACCTGGAAAAATATTTTTTAACTTAAGATTCTGTGCCTCATATTCCATAAATATTGTTATGACCTCCTTGGAAATGTAGGTTTAGGAGATGCAAATTCTGTCAGACTTGTTGATGAGAATTTGATAATGAGGAATTCTTCTCACTGGCCTACAAACAATAAAAACATGAATTATGAGGTCAAAAGTGGGAGTTAACGTATTATCTACATTACAAAATTATGTGGGAGACAAATGTATTATGATTCATTCCAGAAAAAAACTATATAAATCGGTTTAATCAAAATGAAAAACATTTATTATTTTATTCATATTATATTTGCAGCCAAATGGTTTCTAATAGCCATAAAATCTCCTGTGGCCTAAATCACTTTAACATGTTCAGTTATGTTAAAAGACTAGAATTGACAGTGGCTTATCCAAGTCAAACACTTCTCAGGGTGAGGTAATAGATACTTTTCAAGAGGAATTATTTGTACTATTTTATTAAAAAGAATAACATCCTTTTATAACCTGTTTAGCAGGGGGATATACTCTGGAGCTCTGGCTTCAGTGTCCCAACCAAAAGTACTCCCAAACAGCCATGCCACTTATGGACGCTCACCAGTCCCACCTCAGAGTGAGCAAATGCTGGCTTTGGACTTCAGATGTAAGTTGGTACTGTCGTAACAGTGAAAAAACAAAACAGCTAATCAAAAACATATTATTTGCTACACAGAGTTTGATTTATTAGGGTTTCATATGCTTGATACAATTAGTAAGGCAAATAAGTGAACCAAAAACTAAAATCAGTTTCCACACTAAGAGATTAAAAGCCTAGGTGGCAGGAGAAAGTACTAATCTAAATGATCCTGAAACAAGGCAGTAATCCCTGAATTTTAAAAAAATCCTCCAAATATCACGTTGCCATCTGGTGACAGTGGGGGGGTGTGCGTGTGTGTCCATTTTTTTAAATATAGAGATTCTGTCATCCTCTCTGCTCCTTCCCTTCTACAAACGATTTTGCACAAAAGACCCAAAAACAGGTAAATAGTTCCAATACTTCAAACAGAAAAATCTACACTAATCACATTCATTACATCCTAATTTTTCATCAGTTTCTATACAAGACTATGAACTCCTCAAGGGTAGGGCTATGTCTTAAACATTTCTTTTCCTAGTACCTGGCTAATAAAAGGCTAAGAGGAGGAAAAGCTGGTTGTCAGTGATTCTGCTTTATTCCCAAATCAGAAGGATAGCATTCATAGCGGAGTACCTCAATGTTGGTACACATGGACGTGGGGAAGGGAAATGCAGGGCACTGATTCCAGAGTCAAGTACAAATATGATTTTCTATAACAGGCTTTGAAAATTAATGGTAATGGAAACATTCAATTTAAACATCTATTTATTAAAAGTTTTAACTGAATTTATTAGATGCAGTTTTATAGTGGTTACAGTCAGAATTTCAAAAGCAACTTTCCCTGAGAGTGTGCTATGGGCTGTTTTTTTGTTTTCTGTTGTTGTTTGGCTCTAGTTCACTGTTTTTATTTACATAACCACCTTTCTCCCAGACAAGCAACATTAGCAAAAACTTAAGGCAAAGATGCCTTGTTGGTGACCATCCTGTTCAATATTCTTCCGCGGAGGGTCTTCTCAGTGGCCAGTTACCACATGGAGTTCATGCTGTGTTTGCATATTTTCTACTGGATCAGCTCTAAGTGAGGACCTTTGCCCTACCCTCCTGTCACCACTGAGAGTGATTATACTTGTGCCACACATTGCTCACCAACAGGCCATGACAAACTCTCAGGGAAAGTTGCTTTCTTTGAAATTCTGACTGCAACCACTATAAAACTGCATCTAATAAATTCAGTTAACTTACAACTTCTAATAAACAGATGCTTAAATTGAATGTTTCCATTAATTTTACTTTCAAAACCTATTTTAGAAGGTTATATTTGTACTTGATAGCAATAATGAATTTTTATCTCATACAAAAACAGTTTTTATGCTTTTTCTTTTTACCAAATCAGCCATGTTTATTGTAGTGGGACAGGGAGGGTGGGAGGGAGGGAGACGCAGGAGGGAAGAGATATGGGAACATGTGTGTATGTATAACTGATTCACTTTGTTATAAAGCAGAAACTAACACACCATTGTAAAGCAATTATACTCCAATAAAGATGTTAAAAAAAAAAAAAGAGTGAGTGTAATGATTCAGATAAATCAAGTCTAGCCCAAGTAAGTAAATAGCATCAAAAGAAAATTTTTCTTAGTTTATGCTAAACTAATGATGAAAGGTCTAAAGTATTACATTCTATATTGGAGTAGGAGGTGAGGTATAATTAACTTAAAGTTGAATGTCAATCAAATACAATACAAAATTATTTTAATATAGCAAATGTTCCACTAGCTCAATACCTGCAAGGAAAGCACAGATTTCTTCTTCATTGTACCTATTCCTAAAATGATAAAGATGCAGTGATATAGACTGTTGTGTTCTGCAAAGAATCCATTATGAATATGCAGCTGAAACCTTTGAAAATTTTGCAAACCACAGAGATCGGCATATATTTGAGGAATGACTATATTTGTTTCATTCTGTAGGAATGTTGAGAATTCATAGCATCCCCAAATGTTACTACTCTTAAACGTTACATTCATTTAAAGTATTCAGGGACTTCCTTGGTGGTCCAGTGGCTAACACTCCACACTCCCAATGCAGGGGGCCCGGGTTCTATCCCTGGCCAGGGAACTAGATCCCATATGCCACAACTAAGAGTTCTCATGCTGCAACTAAAGATTCCGCATGCTGCAACTAAAGATCCTGCATGCTGCAACTAAAAGATCCCGCATGCCACAACTAAAAGATCACACATGCTGCAACTAAAGATCCTGCATGTGCAACTAAAAAGATCATGCATGCTGCAACTAAAAGAACTCGCATGCTGCAATGAGGATCCCGCACGCGGCAACGAAGATCCCTCATGCTGCAACAAAGTCCCAGTGCACCCAAATAAATAAATAAAACTTATTTTAGTAAATAAATAAAATATTCAACTGTTCGTTTGAATAAGAAACAGAGAATTGATGATCTCACTAACATTAGATCCAACACTTTAGACATGTTTATCTAAATGATTAGACATTTCATTGTCCAATATTAACTAATGGTTTTTCATATTATTTGGTGACAACTCTGGAAACATAACCCTGCAATAACCACACGACTGAATAAATATGAGAACACCTGCAGCTCTGAGACTTGGAGAGATTCTAGCCCTCACTCCATCACCGCAGCCCTGATGGCAAGAAGAGCAGAAACCCCAGCAGTATCTATAGAGCCACCCAACTACTGCTTCTCTATGTGTTCAGGAAGGGAATATGGGGGTTGAGAGAATAATGAACTTCTTGGAAGATAGCAGGCATGATAGAGGCTGTCCCATCACTCCCAGAAGTATATGTGGAGGCAGTTCCTTCAATGCTTAGTTTGCAGTTTGCAGCCTGCTACCTGCCAGAGCTTATTACGACGAGAAAGAAACATGTAAAGTCTGAATACAAAGAATTTTTTAAAATCATGATCAGGAATGTGTGTAGTTGTAATGCTACACTTGCAAGCAACATCATTTAAGAAGAAGGGACAAAAGCTAAAATTAAAATGCTTGAAATTAATAAAACATATAAGAAATCAAAGTTTTGTTTAGGTTTTTATCTATTAAAAAAAAAAAGAATTCTGAATACTCTTCTCCCCTCCCTACCCTGTCTCACATACAAACTGCTATTTCTCATGAATGCTTTCTCTCCAGTCATACGTAGTCAGGATAAACAGCCCAAAATCTTGCACATAAGTGCCCTTAACTGAGTCTGCGTATCGCAAATAAAGCCTGACATCTTTTCATTTTTGCTACTGAGAAGACGAATTATCATGGATGGTGAGGTTTTCATGACTTATTTGGGGAAAAGTGGATTCTGTGTTAAAAAAACTTTTATCAAGTCTTAATAACAGTTGTATTAGGGTATCTTTTGCTACCTGCATCATAATTCTTTTTTCATACCCTGTCCAAAATATATCCCCTTTCCAGCCAAGCCTAAAATAATCCAGGACAAATGTTCGAATAAATGTCAAGTTACAATTATTTCTTACAGTTTTTCTTATTCTTTTTCATTAAAAAAAAAAATCAGTATTGAATCAGCATGAAAATGTCAAAAATAAATGACTTTTATTTTCAAGGTTTGAAATGAACTTTGGATAATCTTCTTACACCTGTAGAATCCCTTAAACCATTCTGTTTGCTAGATGTCTGTGGTCAGTTATATCCCTATGGCAATTACTATTTTTAGAACACTTCTTATTCTCAAGTGGCCTTGATGCTTTTAAATTCATGGTTTTACACTGTTATCTGAAAAATCTTATAAACATTTGTATATATAGATGTAGATGCATAGATATATAAATTATCAAAATAAAAGGGACTACTCCTTTGCCACTTCCCTATTACTACTAACAGTATAGTTTTTTTAAAAATGAGGGGCTTCCCTGGTGGTGCAGTGGTTAAGAATCCGCCTGCCAATGCAGGGGACACGGGTTCGAGCCCTGGTCCGGGAAGATCCCACATGCCGCAGAGCAACTAAGCCCGTGCGCCCATAACTACTGAGCCTGCACTCTAGCGCCCATGAGCCACAACTACTGAGCCCAAGTCCCACAACTACTGAAGCCTGCGTGCCTAGAGCCCGTGCTCTGCAACAACAGAAGCCACCCAATGAGAAGCCCACGCACCGCAATGAAGAGTAGCCCCCGCTCGCTGCAACTAGAGAAAGCCCGCGCACGGCAACAAAGACCCAACACAGCCAAAAATAAAAGTAAATAAAATACATAAATTTATTTTAAAAATGAATGTGCCTCCTCTTTTTAAATAGGGAGTAATTATCCCTACTCTTAGCTCCCCGGCCTTTAAAATATTTATTCAGGAATAACATGGAATTAATAAGTTTTACATAGATTACTAGAAGCCTGGTGAATCTTCTAGATGGTCAGAAAAGACCATTCCTAACTTCCTTTATTTTATACACGGCATCTTAGTCCAAAATATATTTTGGAAAGAGTATGTGCAAATCAGGAGTCAGATTAGGCAAACTTTGAAAGCAGATTTATAAATGCTCCCACCTTGCCTTTAACAACCAGCGCTTCATGTGAGCCATCCATGCCTTCATTCTCTGGGATGACCATCTAAAACCATTCCAACAGTCAGAAAGCCTTAAAAAGAAAGAAAGAAAATGCTTTTAAAACAACAAATGGCATCATGCATATTAATATATAGCAAATGACGTTTCTTGTTACCCAAGTCTAGCTATCACGTCTGAGAGAGGAACTTGTCTTTTATCCAACCATGTTGAGTTTATCTGTATAAAAGTTAGAGAAAATAGACCTCTTCCATGAAACGAGAGTATTAAAATACATAAAACACACACACACACACACACACACACACACACACACACACAGTCCATATCATGCCCAGTAAGTTTTCTGTTGTGTGAGAAATCAGGTGTCAGAACTATAGGTTATTTTATCTTAAGAATGTAATTTTTTAATCAGAAAAGTATAATCTAGCTACATAGTCTTTTTCTGCATTTTTATTACAGTTTTTTTATTCATTAGAGCCAATTTCTCTTTTCCACAAAGGATCTTTTTCTCATTTTGTACATGTTTAAAAGGAATATACATCAGACAAAAGTTATTGTTTAGAAAAAAACTTTTATGAGCACACTATTTTTAAAAAGTGTAATATACCTTATGGGGCAATCAGTCACCTCTGGAATACTGTGGAACTTTTCACCCTGTAGGGTCAAAATTGAGCTAACAGTAAAAAGGAATTCTAAAGTCTTATATACCAATATTCAGCATTGATATGTGATTTTATAATAATATTTTACTACAGTTCTTTGATGTCCCAAGAGTTCACAAAACTGGAAAAAAAAAAAAGAAAAAAAAAGAAAGAAAGAAAGCAAAAGAAAACTCAGGGTAAAATCCAGATTTGGCGAGGCCAAAAAACTGACTGCAATCCCCACCTCAGCCCTCACTGATGTGACATACAGGGTCTGTCTGAAATAGGGAGAGTAACTCAGTAATTTCTTTCCCCCAAAAGGTAAGGAGAGTATACACCAATAAAAAGCTGAGAGTAAGACATGTGTGCTGCAATAAACTACCCTCGAGTATATGGAATGCTAAATATTCTTTTTTTACTGAATAATCTGGTTTCTTTCCCAACTATATAGGGAAATATGTGAAAGAAAGTGGGCAAAGAACAGACTAAGATCATGTTTCCATTACCCTCATAGTCTTGCTTCATTTTCCTTGAGATAAAGCTAACAAGTAAATACTTTTCAGAAGTTACACTTTGTCATCCAAGGTAACCACCTGACTTTATTTTTCTCCAAAATTGTTTTGAGCCCCCATTTGCCCATCCGTGCTCAAGCTAGTTTTCAAAAAAGATTTTAAGAAGAGTTCCTGTTTGTTCTTAAAGCTAATTGCAATTTTCAAGTATTCTTATCAACCAAATGTTATTGAAAAGTACCGTGCTAATCTCAATAAGTAGAGGTAGTGTTATAATTTATTAAGCCACCCTCCCAATCCCCCCCTCCAAGAAGAAGATAAGGAGGGAAGATTTAATTACGGAGCTTCCACTACAAAAGGAGAATGCGTACTGATCTTTATTCATTTTTGGTTTTTTTTAATATTTACAGAAGGATGACTATATCATTGTGTTAAGGGATTTCTATTCTTGGACTTTACTTTTCAACACTTTTGTGCACATGTTGTTTAATATCTTTTATTTGCCAAAAGACACTACATTGAGTAACCCATTTTCTGCTCCCACAATCCCAAAATATTATCTTAAATGATGTGTAAAGTTCTCCCCTCAAGGACGGTAGCTATTTTTTTTAAGGATGAAAGAAAATACAAGAATTACAGTACAGTACAACCCTCTGATTCCTTGAAGACTCTAAGCAGGACCCTTGGCATACCTGAGTCAGTAGAGTTTCTAGTGGCGTTCAGCCTACAGAACCATCAGTACACCATCTTCAGGAATCTCCACAGTGAGAAGTCTGCCAGGATGCTTCTCTATGTAGTATATCAGGCAAAAAGAAAACTATGTTCATTCACCTTCACTGTGCAAACTCCTTTAGCAAGATTTACATATGAAACACTAGATGTTTTTTAATTACCACCTCTGAACTCAATAACTTACTACTTTTTATTTTGGGATATTGGATTGAAAGCTAGCTAGAAGCATTACCAGGTCATTAGGTTTCTTGCCAGCTACAACTACTCTTCTGAAAATGAATGATAAATAGCATAATGTATTTCCCCTAATTCAAGCACCCGACTTTCCACAAAACTTGGGTTCATTTAACAGGTTTCTTACATTTGTGAGCCCAGATAAAAGCTCACATGATAAACTTGGTACAAGTAGCTTAAAGAGAAATCTTAGACTGCAAGAAAAGCTTCCTTCAGTAGGAAAAGAATATCCTTTCTTAAGGGTAAATTGAAATTCCTAAGACCAATGTAATCCACAGTTAAAACAATAAAAGGTTAGAAGTTGGCACTGAGAATGTTTCTTTTGTGTATGTGTAGAACACACACATACAGAAAAAAGAATATTGAGATAGCCTAATTTGGACTTTTTTGCTGAATTGGGCTATTCTCAGTCTGAGTTAGTTAGCACTTGTTGATCAGTGGAATGCAGGTGCCTACGTTACCACTGCAGTGTGTACATCTACCAGAAGAACTTCTGGATTTCGACACGTCGTGGGGCAGAAACAATGTGCACTAAATTTTTAAGCCGCCATCTGCTGACTCTTCACCGACAGAGGTCTGACTGGTTTTTCTTCCTTTCAATTTCTTTCCCCGCATCAGGTTTGTTTCCTGATTTACCTGCACTCTAGAGCTGGACCATAGAGGTCAACTCTGGGTCCGCTTTCTACCTAAACCCAATCTTCTTCTACAGCATCTCTGATGAGTGGTCAGCCAGTCTTTGGTATTAGGGCATTGGTAGAAAATTAGAAAGAATGATAGCATGAAGGCCAGTTTGGGGACGAGAGAGAAAGTATGAAATGGGAAGAGGGAAAAGTGTATATTGAAGAGGAGGAAAACTACTGACTTAAGAAGGGGAAGCAGTCAAGTAACACACTGGCTGAGGGGTTGCACATCCTTGCAATGTAAAGATTCTAACCTAGCTTCTCGCAGCAAATCCACTGTGTGTGTGTGTGTGTGTGTTTTGTTTTTGTTTTTATTTACTTGGCTGCATCGGGTCTTAGTTGTGACGCTCAGGCTATAAATCGCGCGGGCTTAGTTGCCCCTGGGCATACGGGATCGTAGGTCCCCCACCAGAGGTTGAACCCGCGTCCCCTCCATTGGAAGGCGCGTTCTTAACCACTGGACCAGGGAAGTCCCACATGTGTATGTTTTTCAAGTACATCAAGGATGCCGCTGAATGAGGTTTGTCTCTGTATGCTCTCTTCCACTTTCTGATTCCAAGCCAAAATGCTGGGCTTTTAAAGGCATACAAAATGCCGAGGAATTCCACAACTCGAAGTCCAGACATCACTGGTGAGTCCATTTCACTCTCTAGGAAAAGGTCCTTAAAAAGCTAATAATTTACTTCAGTAACGGCAGAAAGTGGTCCAGAGGCTGAGATGAAGTCCAGATGGAGGGGAACTTAGGAATTTCTTAAGATATATTAACCAATTATTTGGAGCTTATTTGGATCCTGATTCAAACAAACTAAACAAAACTAGAGCGGGAGACATTTGGAAATTTAAATACTGACCAGATGTTTGATGTTATTTCTATGTGTTTGCTCTTTTTCATACTATGGTTGTTTGAAATGGCATCTTTCCATTACTGCATGCTGTTTCCAGTAACAACACAAGAGAAGAGAACGAAAAGAATGTGAAGGCTTGGGTGGGTCACAAACGATGGACATGCAGAGTCTGAAAGGCAGGCTGAAAAGCCAGGTGCCAAAACCTTGACATTTATCCAAGTGCTACTAAGGATGGGACTGAGGAGTTTCTCGGGAGAGGGGTTGCTAGACCATAATGCGAGAAACTGGAGTTGCCAGTTAGGAGGCAGGGCAGGATCTGTGAGAGGGCATGAGGGCATGCTTGGGGGTGGGGGCTTTCTAATCAGGTCACAAGAGGAATGAGAAGAGGATACTGCTTTCTCTCTGCATACAAAAGTGACAGATCAATTAAAATGATCTTCACCTATTCATTGAGATAGGTTTGTTAAACCAACTTAACTTCATTATCTTAATCGCTAGCTGCTGCAGATGACTGCATGTGAAGGAATATAAAAGATTTTCATTAATAGTGTTGAAAACTTCTAAGGTAAAATGGTATGTTGAGTCAGAACACAGAATCTTTTGAGATAAATAAAAATAAAAGAATTACATTATGAATTTTAAAAAGTGACAGATTATCAAGAATATATTGAAAGGCAACTGTGTGCCTACCACACTCCTGGGCATTATGGAACATTCTAGAGAAATACAAATCCCAGAATTTAGCTCATGAATCAGCATCAGAACATAATCGCCTGAGTAAACTATTCATGTAAAGTAGTTAGTTTGGTGACAACATTTGACAGAAAAAAAAAAAAATCCACTTCTGGTAAAGTCAATAGTTACTGTTTGAAGAATCATAAATATACAGGGGTAGACAGGTTGTGTAACATCTCCAAGATACCTAAAGAAAGTGAAGAATGGGTGATAGCAAAGGAGGAAACATGACATCAAACAAAAGAGAGAGAAAGATGCAGACGACAAAGGACAAACCAAACCAAAACTAACCTCGACAAACACTTGCCCTCCCCCAGGTCCTTCTTCCTCGACCCCAAAACACCTAAAATGACGCAAGGCGAAGGAGAAGGAGCCGCCCTCGCCCTGGTTCCGCCTCAATCCGGTTACCGTCCAGCAGTCCCGGAGCGGAGGCCCAGGCCCCGCCCGCGCTTCGTCCCCGGCGTCCCCGCGCTGCGACGCGGGCTCTCCATCCACACGGAGCGGCGCGGGCCTGTCCCCCGGGGAAGCCGGGATCCCGGCCGGCGCGCCGGGAGAGCCCCTCCCGGGCTGGGATCAGCCCCCGGGGCGACGCGCTCCGTCCCCGCGGTCGGCTCCCCGGGCGGGCGCTCTGTGGGCAGGGCTGCTGGGGGCGCGCTGCGCTGGGACCCCGCGCTCCGCCCGGTCGTTCGCGCTCCCAGGCGCCGCGCCAGCGCGACCTCGGCCTGCAGGCCTCCGGCGTTTCAGACTCACCGGCCCTCGGCGGGATCTGCCGTAGTCCACCCAGAGCCCCCGGCTCGTGCTGAGACCCCCAGCCCTAGGCCGTGCCATTTCCCTGCTTTGCCCACTGTTCGCGCAAAAGGTCAGGATGGCCTTCGTGTCCTCCGCATCCTTCACCCTCCTAACGCCGGCAAGGGCCGTGGTTTTTGCCTCTTTTGCGCCCTTTCTTCTCAGGCCTTTTACTCCGTTTCTATTGCAGCTGCCTGATCCCAAGCCACCGTCCCTACTGATCACCCTCCTCCGGTCTCAAATCACCGCAAAGCCACGCCAGGATGCAGTGACCCAAACTCTGATCGCCTTCTTCCCAGCTTAAAACCTTTTGGTGGCTCCTGGTGGCCAGCAGCATTAGCCACCCCCCTTGCGTGGTTTCAAGGCCCCTCAAGATCTGACCCCTGTGCTCTCCGCAATCTCACCCCTCCTTCTCCTCGCGCGCTCCAGAAGAATTCCAGACTCCTTCTCTGCGATGTTCCCCACCCCCAATGCCTACCAGGCTTATCTGGCTAATTTACCACCTTTGTGTTAAAAAGTCGCCTCTAACATCACATCCTCCAGGACTGCCATCCCAGCCAGCAGAGTGAGACGACCCTCAGAGCACCTGCATGTTTCTCTCCATTGTAGCAAACATCGCTACTCCAGTTACGTAGTTACCGGTTTTCCCCACCCCACTCCCAGCAGTTCATCACCTGCTACTTTGTACCAGGCACGGGGCTAAGCAGGTATTATGAATTATTTAATACTTACAACCACCCTATGAAAGAGCTTCTGTTATTCCCATCATACACATGCAGCATAGGCTAAGAGCTTAAGAAATGTGTCTCATCTCGCATGGCCAGGATGCAGGGGACTCAGGCGTCCATATTTTTTAAACTTACACTCCCGGTGATTCCCGTATGCAGCCATGATTGAGAATCACTGTGTGGCTTGTGAGGTCTTTTAGGACAAGGGGGGCCATCCATGCTTCTGGACCTAGCACAGTGACTGAGACGCAGTAGGTGTTTGTGGAATGAATGGAGGTTTTATTTGATCCTCTACACCAGTCTAGAAGGCAGGGCCATTCAGAAATCGTAACTGCCTTGTTTTTAGATGTGCAAAGAGATCCAGAAAGTCGAGTGACTTTACAGTTCATAAATGGCAGTGCATGTTCCAGACTAGGAACATCTGACTCCCCTGGGCTCTTTTCACCATCGTAGCTTTTTCTGGGACAGCCTCCCAAAGAAAGATTTCCTTTTGATTCTTCCTGGAAAACTTTGGTGATAAGAGATTCATTTTCACCTCTGATCAGATTTAGAGCATCTGTAGTGCCAGAGTACAAAGGGACAGGGTCGGTTCCGCTGCCAGAAAGAAAGAGGAGTAGCAACCTGAGCAACGTCGTTCTTTGATGTTTATCCTTAAAAGGAATTGCTTCAGTTACTGGAGTTATCTCGAGATCATTCCAGGTCATCTGGAATATTATTCCAGGTGGTTCTGCTAAGCCTCTAGGTTGAAGGATTTTTAAGTGAAAGAGTAACATCAGAATTGGATTTACTGAACACACACACACGCACACACACGCACACCACCAGCAACAGTGCAGGGGATGGGTTGTCAAGGGACAAAAGCAAACACAGGAAATGATGTCCGTAGCAGGGTTGTTAATAACAACAAAAGGCTGGAAACAACCACCATGTCTAATGGCAAACAGAATGGTTCAATTGTGATGTTCACACAATAAATATTATACGTAAGTGGAAATGAATGGGTTATACCTTGTGTAAAACATGAGTAAATCTTGGAAGTATTACAGAATTACAGTCGTATGAAGAAACAGCCAAAGAACGTAGGAAGAAAGCAGCCACCAAACATGTAGGAATAAAAGATATTAGAGAGCATTCAGGCTCCTTATTTGTT